ATACATTTTATAATCACTCCATCTTGTTTCTGATATTCTATTATTAATCATTTGGACCTCTTTCTGTAGGTTTTGAATTGTTTCCAATGTTCTATCTATCTTATTTGATTGTTCCTTTAGCACTTTCCTGACTTCTTCCTTATTTTTCTCAACTGCGTTGTATAGTGTTTTGATACATTTTATAATCACTCCATCTTGTTGGGAATCTTCCTATTTTTCGCTGACCTTCCACTTTACCAAGCATGACGTCCTTCTCTAGGAACTTGTCCCTTCTGACAACACATCCAAAGCATTAAAGACAAAGTCTCGCCATCCTGGCTTCTATGGAGCATTCTGGCTGTACTTTCAGGACAGATTTGTTTTTCTGGCAGTCAATGGTACTTTTAATAGCCTTCATCAATATCTTAATTCAAAGATTTGCATATACTCTTTTATAGAATTCCAACTTTCCCATGCATTTGAGGCAACTAAAAATATCATGGTTTAGGCCAGGCACTCCATAGTTCTCAAAGTGACATATTTGCTCTTTAATAGTTTCAAGAGGTGTTGTATAGCAGATTTATCTAATGCAGTATGTCGTTTGATTTCTTGACTACTGCGTCCATGAGAACTGATTGTGGAGCCAAGCAAAATGAAGTCTTTGCCAGCTTCAGTCTTTCTCCAATTATCATGATGTTATTTATTGGTAAGTTGTAAGAATTTTTGTTTTCTTTATATGGAAGTACAATCCATACTGAATGTAGTAGTCTTGATCTTTATTAGTATTTCAAGTCATCTTTGCTTCCATCAACCAAGGATGTATCATCTATGTATTGTAGGCTGTTAATGAGTCTTCCTCCAATCCTGATGTGACGTTCTTCTTCACATAATCCAGTTTCTCAGGTCATTTACTCAGAATACAGACTGAATATGTATGGTGAAAAACTATAAACCTGGTGCACTCCTTCCCTGATTTTAAATCATTTAATGTTCCCTTGTTCTGTTTGAACAACTGCCTCTTGGTCTTTGTACAAGTTCCTCATGAGCACAAGTAAACATTCTGGAATACTCATTCTCCGCAATGTTGTCCATAGGTTGTCATGATCACACAGTCGAAAGCCTTAGCCTTTGTGTAGTCAGTAAAGCACAGGCAAAGATCTTTCTGGTATTCTCTGCTTTCAGCCAAGATCCATCTAACATCAGCAGTGATATCCCTTGTTCCTTGTCCTTGTCTGAATCTGGCTTGAACCTTTGGCAGTTCCTTGTTAAAGTACAGTTGCATCCATTTTTGAATTATCTTGATCAAAATTTTACTTACATGTGAAACCTGTCCACTGACGCTGTGCTCTGTTGTTAAGTGCCATCTAGCCAATTCCTACCCATAGCGACCCTGTGTAGGGTTTCCAAGGAGCAGCTGGAGAGGTTGAACCTTGCATTTCAGAACAACTTTGCAGGCTGACGCATTTGCCCACAGCGCCACACCAGGGGTGTGTCCTGCTAGTATTTAAAGTACTGGTGACATAGCTTCCCGAATCACAGCAACATACAAGCCATAATAGTATGCCAAACTGATAGACGAGTGGTAGTCTTGTTATTGTTGTTGTTAAGGGCTGTCAAGTCAGTTCTGACTTACAGCGACCCTATATAGGGTTTCTGAAGAGCAGCTAGTGGATTTGAACCCCCAACCTTGTGGTTCACAGTCTAGTGTTGATCCTGCAGTGCTATACCAGGAGTCCCTATTCTCGTTGTTGTTGCTTTTACGTGCCATTGAATCAGTTCTGACTCTTAGCTACCCTGTATAGGGTTTCTGAAGAATGGCTGGTGAGCTTGAACCACCAATCTTGAGGTTCAAACTGACCTTGCAGTCCAGCGCATTAACCCACAGTGCCACACCAGGACTTCTAGTCTCGTTAGGGTTCCTTAAAAATAAAAGTCTGATCTCTGCGGTGGCTTCTGATGGGATATGCTTGACTCTTTTTTTGGGATTCCAAAATATTAATCTTGGTAGATTTTCTTGAAGATCAAAGGCTGGTCACAGACGCTTATTAAAAAGATGTTTTCAGAAAATGGAAAATTGCTTTGGTGAAAAAAATGCCAGGAAAATTGTACTGAGGAAGTTTATTTGCATCACAACAGTATATCTGCTCATTCTTTTAGGGTAGCAACAGCTGTCCTACTAGAATTCCTTTAGGAAACTTAACCCCATCTGCCTTACAGGCCCCATCTTGCTGCTTCAGTCTTTTATTTGTTGTCCAAACTTACAGAATATTTGAAAGAACAATATTTGAGTTTTTTAAGGATGCCAAAACTGTTATTTTGACGTGGTATATATCAAAGTGTGTGCAATTCTTTGGTGAAAGGTTAGAGAGATGGAAACGCTGCTTTCATATTGACCAATAAATAAGCCAATATATTGAGAATCAAAATAGCTTCACGTTTAGGTGTTCTTGTTTAATAAAGTTTTTAATGATTTTTTAGCAATAGTTTTTAATTTACTTAACTATGTTGTTGTTGTTATGTCCCGTGGAGTCGATTCCAACTCATAGTGACCCTGCACAGGGTTTTCCGAGGCTGTACATTTTTATGGGAGCAGAAAGCCTCATCTTTGTCCTGTGTAACACCTGGTAGTTTCAAACTGCTGACCCTGAGGTTAGCAGCCTGATTCATAACCACTACGCTACCAGAGCTCCTTACAGATCTATTAAATAGAAATCGATATTTTAAACAAGGCCTCAAGAGAGTTTTGGAAGTGCGGTGGCTCCATACGATAAGCACTGACTATAAAGCACAAGGTCCTTAGTTCAAACCTACTAGCCACTCTGTGGGAGAAAGATTAGACTTTTCTGCTCCCTCAAGATTTAAAGAGCTTCGGAAATCCTATAAAGGATTGATCTGAGTCGAAACCAACTTGAAGGCTCCTAACAACAAGAGAGTTTTAGTTACACATGGCTGTATCACGTTGTACTCTTAAGAGCTACAAAATTTCCCATCTTTTACCCATCTGTTTTCTTGGCTCTATGTTTATATATTTAACCCCTTTCTGATGTTCAAGGAGCTATGGTGATGCAATGGTTAAGCACTCAGTTGCTAACAGCAAAGTTTCTGGTTTGAACCCACCAGCCACTGAATGAGAGAAAGAGGTGACATTCTTCAATAAAGAGTTACAGTCTAGGAAACCTTGGAGTATCTATCCTATGATTGGAAATTGACATGAGGTTTGTTTTTTTTTTTTTTTCATTTGCTGATACTTTTATTTTTCACTCCATCTAGTTTTTTACTAGACTCTTATTATTATTATTATTTTTAATATTCCTACTGATAAGTTGTAGGATAAGAATGCTAACTGCAAGATTGACAGTTCAAACCTACCAGCCACTCCTTGGAAACCGTATACAAGATCCCTGTGATTCAACCAACTGGATGGGACTTAATAACAACAACTGATACATTGTTTGTTTGTGTTTCTTAGCCTTGGAATTGTAACTTTCTTCCTAGTTTCCTCTTCCTCCCCACTGTAAAGTGTTTGTTCTTCAGCATACATGGTTCACTTTATATCTCATAATAAGTTATATTTTTCCTGTTCTTTAGGCATATCTGATTCTCTCTCATTTTCTATTTAATAGCAAGAGTAAAAAATAACAACCACGATTTGGTGGAGGAATCTGTAAGTTTTACGTTTAAAAGTTCACGTTTTTTAGAAGGCTCACTCTTACCAGTCATTTTTACTTCTCTTCCTCAGAGAAGAAGAAGAACGGCTAAGAAACAAAATTCGAGCTGATCATGAGAAAGCCCTGGAAGAAGCAAAAGAAAAATTGAAAAAGTCAAGAGAAGAAATCCGAGCAGAAATTCAGACAGAGAAAAATAAGATAGCCCAAGAAATGAAGATGAGAGAGAACAAGCCACTGCCACCAGTCCCTGTACTCAACCTTGTAGGAATAAATGGTGGAGACCCAGAAGATAATGACATAAGAAAGAAAAGGGAAAAAATTAAAGAGGTAATAGGTCAAATTTTATACTATGGAATGGTTATGGATTTGTATTTGACTGCATTTAATTTTATATATCTGTACCGTTTTGCATTCACACTACTTGGATCTTGTTTGTTCTTGGGCCATAAATGTAGTTCAATTTTCAAGTTGGCAGAAAAGACTAGAATTTTTTCTTCTTAATGTTTATTATAATATAATTTACTCTAAAAAATGATATGATTGTTAATTGAATAGTTCTATCACTTATCCAGTGTTCAGATTTCTTTTGATTTTCAACATTTTATAAATAATGTAAAATAGATCCAGATTTACTTTATCATTGAATAAGAAGTTTCTTAAAGGTTTAGGTATAGGAAACACTGCTAGATACTTTGCAAATCTTCTCATAAACATGCTTCTAAGGAACTAGCATTGTATCTGCCATCTTTTACATTATGATAACACCTGGATTATAGTGTGGGTTTAGAAGATAATCCTTCGCAGTGTCAATCAATGATTGAAGAATGGAGGATTGATCTTTTAAAAATTCTTTAAATTGATTTTACTTCAGAAGTCTTTCAGTTTGTTATTCTAGGAATTGCTTGAAAGTAAAGAGGATACCAGAGAGGTGAAAATCTTTTGTCAATATTTCAATTACACTTTGCTAATTAAAAATCCTGCTGATTCGAAATTATAACTATTTGGGTGAAAGCTGGATGGCATTTGCAATATTACTACATATAAACAGAAATTTTATTAAATAATCTAATAGAATCAATAATATTTCAAAAGAATTGCTAAGGGTTATGTAAGGTCAGTAGGTAATTTAAACTCGACAGAGCTACAGTCTGATTTTCCCTTACGCCTGAGTTCTTTGTTTTATGTACAGGTTGGTTAAGACACTTTTTTGGACAGTGTCTGGGAGATATTGTTAGGTTTTTATTTTTTCAATGCCTGATTTATTTTTTCTGGTGCATTAGAATTTATTGAAATACTTCCTCATATACATAGATAGATAGCCATGTGTGTTCAGGGAGCCCCCAAATCACCTTTATATTCAATGATTAGCCAGAAGAGCACATGTTGTTGTTAAGTGCCATTGAGTCTGTTCCAACCCATAGCGACCCTGTATAGGGTTTCCAAGGAGCAACTGGTGAACTTGAGCTGCTGACCTTGTGGTTCAAATGGCTTTGTAGTATAGCGCATGAACCCACAGTGCCACACCAGAACAGACCTCAGCAAAACTGTTAACACTCATAGCTAAGATTTATACCAGCAAGAGGATACAGATTGAAATTAGCAACAGGAAAAGGCTCATAGGTCAGGTTGCTAGCTGCCAATTTTCTTTTTCTAATGAAATCATATGAGCAGTGTTTAATTCTCCCAGCAACAGGTACAAGTATGGCCAACCAGGTTCAGTCGAGCCTTGACATCCAGGGTTTTTTAGGGGGTGAGTGAGGAGTTTGTCAAATAGGCTTAACTGACCACCCACATGTCCCATCTTATTTATCCAACCCCAATAGAGGTTAAGCTGATACTGCTTGACCCAAGGCTCTCACATTGTTAGTAGAGTGTGGCCCAAGGTTTTTGGTAAACTGAGACATACATTGTTGTTGTGGTAGTGATGATTTGAGTTATAGTTTACAGAGCAAATTGATTTTAAATCCAACAATTTGTATATGTTTAGTTAGATGACATTGGTTGTAATCCCGACAGTGTAACAGCACTCTTCCCATTTCCCTCTTGTGTGTATACTATTTCCATTTGTCCTTCTTTCCTAGCACTTCCTGCCATCTGAGTTTTATTCCTGGCCTCCTTTGATTTCTTATGGTTGATTGTTTTAAGGAGTGCATACCTCCTTGGTGTTGCTGCTCACCTTATATATTGTTGTTGTTGTTGTTAAGTGCCGTGGAGTCGGTTCCGACTCATAGCGACCCTGCACAGGGTTTCCGAGACTGTAAATCTTTACGGGAGCAGAACGCCTCATCTTTCTCCCGCGGAACCGCTGGTAGTTTCGAACTGCTGACCTTGCGGTTCACAGCCCGATTCGTAACCACTATGCTACCAGAGCTCCTTATATATAGGTCTGTCTATTGTTTGACTGAAAATAGAGCCATTGGGGTGAGTCATTTTCAGGCTTGAAGGCTATCTAAGAGCCATAGTCTTGGGGTTTCACCAGTATCCGTCAGAACACTAAACCCGGTCTTTTTCTTTTTTAAAATAAGTTCTACTTTTTTCTCCGATTCTGTGCGAGACCTCCCTTTCAGTGATCTCAGCAGTGGTAGCAGGGTACCATCTAGTTATTTTGGTACTCAGATGTGTTAAAACGGGGCCTGGCCTTCAGGAGGCCCACAAGTCTTTTGGACTAATTGTTTCCATGTGTCTTTGATTATCTTCACTTTCTTTGCTCTGTATGGGGAGAGAGACCAGTAGTTGTACTTTAGATGGCTGCACACTGTTCACCTCACTATTTACGCTTACTGTCACAGTTTATCAAAGTAGGCTACAGAACATTATCTTCTTGGATTATGTGATGCTAGTTGACTATTCCCTGAGACTATGGTCCTATGTACCCCAGGTCCAGTGACTCATTGCCTCAAGGTGTTTGGTTATAGTTAAGAAGCTTTCCTAAGTTTGTTTTTTGTATGCTCTACTATATCCATGGCTATATTTGTAGCATATAGTACATATGTAGAAATATCCTCATATCCTCTGTGTGTTTGTGTGTGTATGTGTATATATTTATATATACTTTTTGGTCTTCAAAAAGTTCATGGAAAAATGGAATTAAAAGATAAAAATAAAAAAGAAAACTTTATTTAATCAGCATAAAGCCCATCAAGACATTTTTGTAAGCGATAGTACCAGCCATTTGTACCCTAAAGAACTGAGTCCTGGTGTGGGTTAATGCACCAGCCTGAAATGCTGTTTGAACTGCAAGGTCGTTGGTTCAAGTTCGCCAGTTGCTCCTCGGAAACCTTATATACAGGGTCGCTATGGGTCGCAACCGACTCGATGGCACTTAACAACAACAAGAAGAAGAATTGACAGTTCTGGTCTGGAAATTTAACCATATCAATGCAGTCTTGTTTCCATTAATACCTAAAAAAAACCCCACAAGTACCCTTTAAAGATTTTTTTTTTTCAGATTAGGAAACAAAAAGAAGTCAGAAGGAGCCAAATCAGGACTATAAGATGGATACCTAATGGTTTCTATCAAACTCACAAAATTGCCTTTGTGTGATTAAAGGAATGAGCTGGAGCAATTGTCCTCTTGGAGAACAATTCTGGTGAAGCATTCCTGGGCGTGTTTTTGCTAAAGCTTTGGCTAACTTACTTAAAACATTCACATGATAAGTAGATGTTACGGTTTGTTGACTTTTACAGAAAGTCAACAAGCAAAATACCTTAAATATCCCCAAGAAATGTTGCCATGACCTTTACTCTTGACCATCTGCCTTTGCTTTTACTGGACCACCTTTTTATAGCAATTTCTTTGAAGATACTTTGTCTTCAGGATCTTACTGGTAAAGCCATGGTTACACTTCTTCCAAAAAATACTTCAGATTTTGTGATTCCACTTGTTTAAAATTTAGAAGGCTTTGCTCTTGTCTGCAGCTGATATGGGTGCATTGGTTTTGGCACTCATCAAGCTGAAGATTTACTCAACTTAAATTTTCCAGTCAGGGTTTTTTTATAAGCTGAACTAATTGAGATGTCTATGATGTTGGCTTTGGTTTTTCTGTTAATCGTCAAGTCTTCTTCAATTAACGTACCAAGAAGATTAATTTTTTTTCCTTGCAAATTAATATAAATAGTCAGCTGTTACATGCTTCAGCTACATCATCATCTTGTAAACTGCTGATTTCTTTGGAGTGTTGTCTCCATAAACTTTTTGTAAAGCATCAGTGATGTCACCATTCTTCCATCCCAGCTTCACCATAAATGTGATGTTTGTTATTGCTTCAATTTTATCAGGATTCATGTTGCTTTGAAAAGGGCCTCTTTTCAGACTGACATCGTCTCCTTCTTAGTGCCATAAACTACACATAATACAGCAAGTTAGTATGAGTTTAGTTTGTTTTAAAACAATTTTGAAATCCAGGCAGTTTTTCATAACGCTCATTTTCCATGAACTTTTTGGAGTCCCCTTATATTCGTGGGTGTGATTCCACTCATCCTCTCATACCTGTTTAGCTTGTATGTCTTTTGTGTATATCCATCGACATGTAAATTACTGTGGTTACTATTATTTCAGGGTTGTACCTGTAATAGTAGTTACCTTTTTGCCTTTTAACTGTCATGCTCTTCCCAATGTCTTCCTTTGCCTTGATCATTTTGTAGTGACCCCTCCTACTTCCTGTATCTCTGCTATTCAGACAATTTCCAAGAAATTTGGAAGACAACTGTCTGGCCAACTGATTGGAAAAGATCCGTATTTGTGCCATTCCAAAGAGAGGTGACCCAACGGAATGAGGAAATCATGGGACAATATCTTTGACATCCCATGAGAGTAAAGTTTTACCAAAGGTAATACAAAAATGGCTGCAACCATACATTGACAGAGAACTTCCAGAGCTTCAAGCTGAATTCAGAAGAGGAAGTGGGACGAGGGATATCATTGCTGATGTCTGATGGATCTTCATTGAAAGCAGAGAATACCAGAAAGATGTTTACCCGTGCTTTATTGACTACACAAAGGCTTTCGATTGTGTGGATCATGACAAGCTATGGGCAACATTGTGAAGTATGAGTATTTAGAACACTTTATTGTGCTCATGATGAATCTATACCTGGAACAAGAGGCAGTAGTTCGAACAGAACATGGGAACACTGAATGGATTCAAATTAAGAAAGGTGTGTGATAGGGTTATATTCTTTCACCATACTTATTCAACCTGTATGCTGAGCAAATAACCCGAGAAGCTGGGTTCTATGAAGAAAAACATGGCATCGGGTTGGAGGAAGAGTCATTTAACATCCTGTGATATGCAGATAATACAACCTTGCTTGCTAAAAGTGAAGAG